AAAGCAGATCAAGGACCTAGGAATTAGATCAGAGACCCTGAGCCTAACAGAAGAAAAAGTAGGTCCAAATTTTTACCATGTCAGCTTAGTATCTGACTTCCTTAACAAGACTTCTAAAGCACAAGAAGTAAAATCAAGAATCAATAAATTGGATGGATTCAAATTGAAAAGCTTCTTCTCAGCAAAATAAACAATCAATGAGGTGAAGAGAGAGCCTACAGAATGGGAGAAAATTTTTACCACATGCACATTATATAGAGCACTAATCTCTAGTATATAAAGAATCAAAAAACTTAACACAAAAAACAATCAGTAAATGGGCTAAGGAACTGAATAGTACACTTTTGAGTGATGGATGGGTGATTGAAGAAGTTAAAGGAGAAATTTTAAAATCCTTAGACTCAAATGAGAATAGTGATACAATATATTATAACCTCTGGAACACTTATGAAGGCAGTTCTAAGAAGAAAGTTTACAGTTATGAGCACTTACATAAGAAAATTACAATGATCTCAAATAAACAACCCAATGATGCATCTCAAGGCCCTTGAAAAATAAGAGCAAATCAATTCCAAAACCAGTAGAAGGAAGAAATAATTAAGATCAGAGCCAAAATCAATGAAATTAAGAATAAAAAGCAATACAAAGAACTGATGAAATAAAGAGGTAGTTCTTTGAAAAGATAAAAAAGATTGATAGGCCCTTAGCCAACTAATCAAGAGAAAAAGGGAGAAAAACCAAATGGATAAAATTGGAGATGAAAAGGAGAAATTACCACCAATATCACAGAAATTCAACAAATCATTAGGGACTATTTTGAAAGTGTACACTGAAATGAACTGGAAATCCTAGAAGAAATGGATACATTTCCAGACAAATAAGCTCTGGAAAAACTGAATCAAGAGGACACAGAAAACCTAAACAGACCAAAAACTAGTAGATAGAAGCAGTAATAAAAGGCCTTCCAACAAAGCAAAGCCAAGGGCCAGATGGATTCTCTGCTGAATTCTACCAAATTCTTAAAGAAGAACTACTGTCAATACTCCTTAAATTATTCCATGAATAGACAAGGATGGAATTACACTTCCAAATTTATTCTATGAAGCCAATATCACACTCATGCTACAACCAGATAAGGACACATGAAAGAAAGAAAACTACAGACAAAAATCCCTAATGAACTTCAATGCAAAAAATATTTAATAAAATATTATATAATCATGTTCAACAACATATTATGTAGACCATACACCACAACCAAGTTGGTTTTATTTCAGAGATGCAAGGATGGTTTAATATACACAAATTAGTAAATGTAATTCATCACATAAATAGAATTAAGGACAAAAAATACTTAGTAATTTCAATACATAGATTCATAGAAGGCCTTAGACAAAATTCAGCATCCATTTATGATAAAATCACTGAAGAAACTAGGGATAGAAGGAACCTACCTCAACAACATAAAAGCTATGTGAAAAACCCAAAGCCAACTCAAAGTAAATGGCAAAAAAAAAAATGAAAGAATTTCCTTTATAATATGGAACAAAACAAGGATGCCACTCTCACTACTCCTATGTAATATAGTACTAGAAATTCTTGTCAAAGCAATTAGGTAATAGAAAGAAATAAAGGGGATAAAAATAGAAAAAGATGACGTCAAGTTATTACTGTTTGCAGATGACATGATCCAACACCTAGAGATCCAAATAATTCCATCAAAAGACAAGAGCTAATAAACAAATTTGTCAAAGTATCAGGTTACACAATCAATATGCAAAAATCAATAGCTTTCTGTATAACAACAATTAATCTGCTGAGAAAAAAATCAGGAAAACAATCCCATTCACAATAGCCTAAAAAAGAGAAATACCTAGAAATGAATCTAAACAAGGATGTGAAAGACCTCTACAGTGAAAACTATAAGACATTTAAGAAGAAATTGAGGAAGGCCTCAGAAGATGAAAAGATCTCCCATGTTCACAGATAGGCAGAATTAATAGTTAAAATGATCAATATACAGATTCAATGCAATGCCCACAAAAATACCAATAACATTCTTCACAGAACTAGGGAAAACAGTCCTAAAACTCATTTGGAAAAATAAAAGACTCAGAATAGTGAATGCAATTCTAAACAAAAACAAAAACACAAAAACAATGCTGGAGACAATACCTGACTTCAAATTATACTGCAGAGCTACAGAATATAGTGAGAATGGTACTGGCATAAAAACAGGCACATAGACTAGTGGTAAGGAATGGAAGACACAGAGACAAACCCACACATCTACAGTCACCTGATCCTTGACAAAGGTACCAAAAACATAAATTAGAGAAAAAAAATGTTTTTAATAAATGGTGCTATGAAAACTGATTATTCATATGTAGAAAAATGAAACTAGACCCTTATCTCTCACCCTCCACAAAAATGAACTCAAAATGGATCAAAGACCTGGGAATTAGATGCAACTTTAGAGGAAAATGTAGGATCTACATTCCAACATATAGACATAGGCAATGACTTTCTCAATAGGACATATAAAGCTCAGGAAATAATGTCAAGAATTAATAAATGGGATGCACAGCAAGGAAACAATTAGGAATGTGAAGAGAATTCTACACAATGGAGAAAATCTTTGCTAGCTACTCCTATAACAGAGGATTCATATCTGGAATATATAAAGAATGCAAAAAAACTTTACACCAAAACATTAAACGACCCAATTAATATAAATGGGCAAAAGAGTTGGAAGACTCACACTTAACTGATTTTAAAAGTTAACAGAAAGCTACGGTATTCAAGGCAATGTGATACTGGCATAAAGATAAACATATAGATTAAATTGAATGTCTAGAAATAAACTCTTACATTTATGCTCAATTGATTTTTAAGACAAGACCAATGTCTTGTCTTAAAAGAATAATTTGTCCAAAAGTACTGGAACAAATGGTTATCTACATGCAACAGGATGCAGTTGGATTCTTTCTTCATTCTTCCTCTTAAATTAACTCCAAATTTTCAAAGACATAAATTTAAGAGCTAAAATTATAGCCTCTTAGAAGAAAGGGGTAAAGCTTTGTGACCTTGGGTTAGGCAATAATTCCTTAGATTTGATATGAAAAATGCCACCAACTGAAGGAAAAAAATAGAATAATTTAATGTCATTAAAATTTAAAACATTAGTACTGTAAATGATAACCATGAAGAAAAAAAATCTGGGCACAGTGGTGCATACCTATAAACCTAGTGACTTTGGAGGTTGAGGTAGGATGATGGCAAGTTTGAGGCCAGCCTCAGCAAATTAGTCTCAAAATTAAAAGTTACAGAAAAAAAGGACTGGGATGTAGCTCAGTGATAAAGCACTCCTGGGTTTATCAATATATAAAATATATATTATATTAAATATATAAAAAGAATGAAAACAACAACTCATAGAAAGTGAGTTTATTTATTCAAACAGTATGCATTGGATTCATGTATAAAACACTTACACCTCAATAATAAAAATGTAAATAGGTAAGGAACTGAATAGATATTTCTTCAAAGGAGAAATATAAATAGTTGATAAACTTGTAAAATATTTTTAACTTCATTAGTCATTAGGAAATTGAAAAGCAAAGTGATAATGAGATATTACTTCATATCCATGAGGATGGCTTAAAAGACAGACAATAGCAACTGTTAGCAAGTCTGTAGGACCCACAGACATTTCTGGTAGGAATTTAAATGGAGCATTCACTTTAGAAAATGTTTTTCTTATTGTCACTTCCTCATAATGCTGAATACAGAGGTAACATATGACCCAGGAATTCTATTTCTAGGTTTGTATTTGAGGAAAATGAAAACATAGTCATACAAAACTTGTATATGAATGCTCATAATGTCATAGTTCATAAGAGTTAAAAAGGAGAAATAATTGAAATGTTCATAAGCTGAGGATTTGAGAGATAAAATGTGAGATATCCACACACTAGATTATTATTGGGCAGTAAATAGGAACAAAGTCCTAATACATGTTACAACAGAGATTGACCTTGAAAACATGCAAAGTGTAAGAAGCCAGTCTCAAAAGACCACATGTTGTATAATGATTCTATTGATATGAACTATCCAGAATAGGAACTTTTTATATAAACAAAGCAAAACACTGGTTTATATATATAGGCTGTGCTAGGAGGAATGGAGAATGAGTACTAATGGGTATGAAGTTTAATTTTTGATAACTAAAATGTTCTAGATTAGTGGCGATGGTTGCTCCACTTGGTGAATATATTAAAAGGCATTTAGTTATATATTTTTTAAAAGTGAATTGTATGGAATATTAACTATATTTTACTAAAGCTGTTATAAATTCCAACTTAATAAACAATATGTTTGTCAAAAATCTATGATTTAATCATAGTATTTAACAGATGTTAGCAAATCTGTCCTGTAGCTTATTTTCATAAGTTAAATATTATTGGAACACAGCAACACTCATTCTTTATCATCTACTTTGATTTTGCATATTGAATAGTTGTGGTACATACTATTAGGCCTGCAGAATCTAAAACATTTACTGTTTGACTCTTTACACAAAATGTTTGGCAACCTCTGCTATGGAATAGCATTTTAAAAGAATGAGAAAAATCTTTGCTTATTAATAAATTAGATATCAAACATTATGTTAAGTGAAAAAATAAGTTTAGAGTAATATGTAGAGTGGTCATTTGTATTTAAAAAAAGACATGGAACTCTAACCCAGCAACAAAAATTATACAACTGAATAGGTACATTCACTGTTATGTAGATGTATTCTGAAACTATAATAGCTGTGCATTAATATCTCTGGGTAGAGCAATGGATTTTTGGAGTAGTAATCAGAAATGTATTCTAACCTTGATTGTATTATTTTAAACTCTTTACAAAAAAATAAATAGGTGTGTTACATAAATAAAAACATAAATGTAAAGGTCTAGCACATTACTGATAGATATAATACAATATTATGTTTTCAGAGCTGAAGATGATCAAGGCTTATTAGAAGCTGTGAGTATGTCACTTTCTATTTGAAATTGCACCTTGTCAATGAGTTTTTAATAGCCTCTAGAAATTGCCAGTATTACATTATCCTAAATAGAGACACAATGTTTGCTCACTTTATTCAAAAGTTTTCTATGAAAATGTAAGCTGGAAAGCTTTGGGATATTCTTTTAATTTTACTATACTTTATTATTACTCAAAAGCACTTCATTTCTGAAATATTAATATGTAATATTATATAGTCTTCTGAATATTTTCATTCATTACCAATCTTAGTTTTTATTAACCTTAATACAGATTAATAGCAATAATTCATTATTTTTAATGAGTTAATGAAAACTTTGGTCTTCATTATTATTATTTTTCTTTAGAAGTACAAACAGATGCAAAATGATTTTGAATTATTATCAGAGGAGAAATCAGTGCTGGAAAATGAACTACAAAAGTTGAAGGATATAGAGGTTGGTAAAACTTTAGTGTCTAAAATTGGCATATAGTACCTAACGAAGCTGCTTATTTCAGGATAGGAATCAAAGTGATATTTAAATATTTTATAATATATTTTCAAAATAAAAAATTATAATAGTTTAAAAATAAGATAATGTTATCTTCTAAATTATCACATTAGTTATCAAAACCAAGATTATGCTATGAAAACATTCTGAAAGATATTTATCTGCCAAATATTTAACTTCATCAATTTATCAGTAAGTTAGAATTTTCAAGAATCTTTTACTTGCATTATATATTTCCCCTGCAATTAACTAATGGTTTAGTTCACTATACCAAGCACAGTGAATAGAAATGTCAAGGATAAATTAACTTTTATTTCTTTTAGTATTTTCTTGTTTTTATACAGCTTATAAATTTAAATTATCAACAACAAAGTCAAATTGATTAGAAGTGAATTTTTATTTACCACTTAAAAACACCAGTTGTGTGGTTGGATGAACATATTCTTGAATCCACTAATGTTGGATATTGATATTTCTTCCTTCCTAGAAGAAGAAGCCAACATAGTACTAGGAGATTAGCAATTTAATCAGAGAAGTAGTGATTCTATACAGGTATCAAACATAAGATCAGGACTGTTGTATATATTCAATTTAGAAATAATTCTGTTTAGATATAGACCAAGTAGAAATAGAAAATCAGCACAAAAAAGGCTGAAAATCTATCATGTAATCTGCCCATGTGGGCATTTTAATTTTATACTCTTACAGCCAATTTTCTTCCAACGTAGCCTTCCTTTTTATAACTTAATAGTTTCTCTCAATATTTTTTTTAGACAGCCAAGCTGAATAACAAAAAACATATTTGGTTTCTGTGATTGCTTGTGAAATATTAATCAGCGTTACTGTGAACTGGTTGTTTTATTTTATATTTGTCTCAATTTTCTATTTTTTATAGGGTTTCATTAGGTTCTTCTGTCTTATGTATATTGCCCAACTACAAAGCCACTTTCACATTTTTGATTTTATGTTATAGCACCATCCCACTTCCAGGTCTCCAAATCTGTATTTTGCCCATCCCATGCAGGAGCTGGCTGAGAAATAAAAGCTAGGTAAAATAGAACAACAAAAAAAATCACAGGACATAGAAAGTAGTTTCAGATGGATCCAGTTTCTAGACTAATGGCAAAATGCAACCTGTGCCTGCTTTGTTTATATCAAGAAACATCAAAGGCCTTCCATATATCGTTCTTCACCAAAAACAGTTGAAAGTGGGCTGTCTCAACAGGTTATGCCCATCTCTGGAGCTACTATGGGGAATCTTCCTAGCAGAGTGGAGATAAAGGCCACGTGCGTTGGGCAATCTATTGCAGTGAGAGAGCCACAGATAGTTCCCAAGGTCAAACCTAAATCTCCCTGGCTTTATGAGAGAAGATCCTCATGTATTTCACGGATGGCTTCCCGAACTGTATTACTTTTCTATTGGTTTAATTGGTTACTTTAAGGTTTATAGTGTTTGTCACAGTCTACCTTCAAGTGATATTAAATCACTTGACATATAAGAACTTTAATATGTTAGCCCTTCTCAGTCTTTATGCTATTGTTTTCATACATTTTACTACATAACCCCAAAATATTTTGTTATTAGGATTTCTTTAAAAGACTATATATTTTTTAAAAAAAAATTTTAGTTGGTAGATGGTCACAATACCTTTATTTATTTTTATAAGGTGCTGAGGATTGAAACCAGTGCCTCACATGTGCTAGGCAGGCACTCTACCACTGAGCTACAGCCCCAGTCCCAACTATATTTTTTATAATGTTTATTCTAAATCATTTAACTGTGTAGAAGGGCATAGTACTACTGTTTCTATTTTTCAAAGTGTGTAATTGATGGTGTCTGTATGATGTGCTTCTAACCCATTTTCCCCATACATCCTGCAGGTTTTATTGCATTTGTTTGCATAGTAAAGTAATTTTCAGAATGTCATACACTACATTACAACAAAACTGACTGTAGTTTATCAGGGTGACTAAATTATTTCAATATATGTTAACTTATATACAGTTTATATTCAATAAAATACTATTACAAACAGTTCAACTATAATCACTAATTTTGGTTTGCTTCTGTTTAAATAAGTTTCCTTGAAACATAGTATAGTGACTCTTGGAGTAAAATGGAAATCTTAGTAATGTATATTTTCAAATATTTTCCCACAATTTGTTGTGTACTTAACCATTTATTTCTGGCTTATATAAGATTACACAGAAAAAACATGTAAGTGATCGAACAAAGAAAACTGTAAAAATAGAAAAGAAAAAAGACAAAGAAAAGCCAGAGGATTCAGAAAGGTAAGACAAAGATACATGTTAGTATTTTTCTTCTTTGTTAATTGACATTTTTATTTTTATTACATACCAATAATTTAAAGTCATATAAACACGACAGGTTTTTAAAACATAAAATTAGGAAATAGTTTTATAAAAAGACCAGGATATGATTATGGGAAAATCATCTAATTAATGCTTTGTACTTTGTTAAATCCCCAAATCAAATCCCCAGAATTTATTATTTTCTACTGAAGTTTTTAATTGTATTTATTTTTATAAAATTTAACTTTTATGTATAATGGCATAATTTTGCATGAACATACTTTATATACAGAGTTACAAAAAATGGTGTTGTGAATGTATAATTATGATTGTAATGCATTCCACTATTTAAAAAATGTAACATGATTAAAATATCCAGAAACATTAAAAAAGTAAACTTTTATGTATATGGATTATTATAAAATGGCTTTATTAAATGAATATTTTCATTGGTATTATAAAATAATCATTCCACTCTTAATTTATTCACATCTTAAAATAGAAATATAATTTTTGAAAAGAAACTATGAATTTATTTTTAGAGAGTACAATGAATGCTAAAAAGAAATTTGTTTAAGTCATCTTTTTTGCTGCTGTGACTAAGACAGGACAAAAACAATTTTAAGGAGTAAAAGCTTATTTTGAGACCCAGGGTTTCAGAGGTCTCAATTCATAGATAGCCGATTCCATTCTTTGGGGCATGATGTGAGTGGCAGAAAAGTGGCTGAGTAAAGCAGCTGGAAACATAGAACCAGGAAGCAGAGAGAACTCTGTTGACCAAGGACAAAATATATACTCCAAAGGCATGCCCCCTGGTACCAACCTCCAGCTAACCCCTATGTGCCTACAGTTACCACCAATCCCTTTCATGTAATAAATGCACTGATTAGGCCAAGCCTTTTATAATCTAATATAAATCTCTCATAACCCAGTAATTTTGTCTAAACTTTCTTGCATTGTCCCATGCATGAGTTTTTGGGAAACACCTCACATATAAACCATAACAAAATTCACTGGACAAAAGGTTTTTGTCTTTGACTTAGAGAAGAAAAATGATCAGAGAAGAAAAAATGACCAATATATTTTGAAAATATCGGCACTTCACTTTTTTTTCTCTCTTATCTCCCTTCTTCATATTCTTAATTATACCAGTAAGAAGTAGGCCTGACATGTGTTACTAAATTGTTATCATTTAACCTGTTTGATTTAGTAGCTTTTAAAAAATAAGAATTCTGGGCTGGGGATGTGGCTCAAGCGGTAGCATGCTCGCCTGGCATGCGTGCGGTCTGGGTTTGATCCTCAGCACCACATACAAACAAAGATGTTGTGTCCACCGAAAACTAAAAAATAAATATTAAAATTCTCTCTCTTTAAAAAAAATAAGAATTCTTAAAATTGTTATTCATTTGGAATTCTTTAAAATTCTCTTTAAGAAAGCAAAGCAGTGATGAATTTTAGAATATTATTTACATTTTAAAACATTTTTAATTACAGGATGTTGCCTCAAGGAAGCCAGCTTAAAGTAAAAGAAAGTTTGTTTCAAGTCCAGGTAACACACACTCTCAATAAGTTTATGTCCTTGCATTTGTAGAACTCAGGTACACAATTCATAGAGGCAGTCTGCAGTTTGCAGCTAGATGAACTTTTCCAAAGGCATATCATATTATAGCATCATGCTTTTTTTTTTATGCCAGCTAGGAATCTCTTTGTTTGCTAACTTAGAATCTTATATAATGTAACTGATCATGGAGGTGGTATCCCGTCACCCTAGATATATAATTTAACATAAGAGAGTAGCATTCCATCACTGCCCTATGCTATTAACTAGAAGCAAGTCACAGGTTCTATCTACTTTCAAAGGAAGTGGATTATACAGAACATTACCATATTGCTGAAGATCAGGATGCTATCCTTGAATTCTGCCTATGGTTTATTTTAGCTAGCACAGTATTTTCTGTATTTAGAAAGAAAAATCTATTAGCTGGACATGGTAGCATGCACTTGTGGTCCCAGCTACTTAAGATGCTGAGGCAGGAAGTCATTTGAGCTCTTGAATTGGAGACCAGACTGGGCAATAACAGGGAGATCCTGCCTCAAAAAAATTTTTAAATAATCTAATTATATTATTTATATTAGAAGTCTTAAGGCTGATCGTGCATAGTGGTGCATGCCTGTATTTCCAGCAGCTTGGTAGAGTGATGTGAGTGGCAGAAAAGTGGCTGAGTCAGCAATGACAAGGTGCTAAATAAAATACAAAATAGGGCTAGGGATGTGGCTCAGTGATTGAGGGCCCCTGAGTTCAATTCCTGGTACCCCTCCCTACCACTTTGGCTTAGAGCTGAATCTGCCTAGAAGAAGAGTTCTTTTTCTCATTCATCAAAGACACTCTATCGACTAGCAGTCAATAACCATAGTTGCACCTAACAAAAATTATGCTTAGATAAAATGATATTCAAATATTAGGTTATTCTATTAGCTTTTGATTTTCAGATTATTTGTTAGAGAAATAGAGTGCATTTATTGTAGACAAGCATCTCATTGGATGATTTGCAGTTTTATCATGTGGAGATAAGAAAAGATAATTGCATTTTAATAAAAACTTTTAGAAAATGGAAATATTTATACATATTTTAATATTCCATGGGTTAAATCATGTACACCATATTTTCACACCCTGGATGTAGTTACTTTTATTCCATATTTGTAGAAGAGACATGGAATAAATAGACTAGGTGTACAGAATTATCAAGTATACTCTGGTTGGACTAAATAGTCTAAGGACTCTTTCTTTTTGTAGGTGGCACTAAAATGACTACAAGCACAAATTCAAATGTGATTTTCCCATTGTTTTCAAGGGTCATCACCTTTCTAAAGTGACAGAACTTTTATATATATATCCTATGCATAGTGCTAAGAGCTTTGTTTTTCTGCAAAAACTCTTTACTATTTACTCCCAAATGTGAAGTCTATAATGCAAATGTAAACAGTAACTTTAATTACATTCTATATTTCCTTAATAAAATTGAATAAATTTCCTGTATCTTACATAATATATTATATAGGAGGTACAGAACTGAAAATGCTGATTTTTCCCCTGAATTTAAGGTTGCTAAAGGATTTTGAAGCTGAAATATAGAACATAAGCATGGGAAACATAATGTTTCCAACTAGGTCCAGCAAAATAAATGGCATAGTAGCTAAGAATTTGGAGATTGAAAACAGGAAGGATTTTTATATATGAGTAACACTGTGGAAAGATAGAAATAAAGTAGCAAGACTACTTAAGGGAAATTCAGTACTTGAATCTGATAGGAGTTTTGAATTAAACAAAACAGTAGTAGGAAGCCTAATAGGTGCCATTTACTGATGACATCAGTAGTTTGAATTTGATTGAGTAGGAAATGGGGTCGTATTGAAGAATATCAGAAATGAGCCACTTGGCATTTTTTATTGAGATTATTCTGCCAGCTATATCAATGATAAATTTTGGAGTATAGATTGGATTTTTCAATCAGCTAGAACAAGAGTGTTTTTGAAGTAGTTTAACTCACATGAAAGTTCTTATGGCTCTTATGCATGCTAAACATCTCCAGCCCAAATCATATAAATTTATTAAGATAGAATTATAAATGACATTACTTATAATCTAAATTTATACTATTGCCAATGGGAAGATTTAATTTTATTTAAAACTAATATAGTGCATTTCTAATCAGAATTCAAAAATAAATTTTTTAAAAGGGAAAAATACTTTGAAGATTATATACAGTTTACCTATAAAGTAATGTGAGAGCCTTCTTCTTTCAATTTATTTTGAGATAATTGATGAATCTATTTGGCTTTGTAAATTTTGATATAAATTCATCCATCTTAACAAATTTGCTCATTAGAATTTTACTCTGTATTAGTGTTCTCTTTATTATTTGTTTTGTATCTATAGTTATATTGTTTTGCCACTTCTTTTCAATTTACAGAAATATTTGTTTTTTGTTTGCTTCCCTTCTTTCCCTTTTATTTAGGGAAATAAATAAACAAATCTCAGGGGATTATCTACTATAGTTGTTTTTAGTTAACCAGTTTTGGGTTTCATTTAGTTGTTTTACTCTTGTCTTTCTTGTTATTGATTATTTTCTATTTAATTATTTCTAGCTTTATCTTTATAAATTGATTTTACTTTTTTATTTTGTTTAATGTTCATTCCTTTGCTAATTTGCATTATTTTTATGTTATATAATTAATTCGTTTATTTTAAGCTTTGCTTAATAGTAGTAACACACTATCCAAGCAAAACACTATACAAATTTCACTGAATAAAACTTTATTTGTATTTCATAGATATTTGAGGGTTTTTTGTTTCAAAGTATGTTTAGTTCACATTTTCATCATTGATTTCTCTTTTACGGAATTATTCCTCTCTACTTATTTCAAGTTTTAAAAGATTTTCTTCATGATCAAGTACATATTTGTTTTTTATCTATTGTTCTATAACAGACAACACTAAAAGTTGGAGATTTAATACATCAATGGTTAATTATTTCTCATTGATTTTTGGATTGACTGGGCTCAGCTGAATTGTTCTTCACCTATTATATGCCTTGCATGACTTCAAGAGGGCTTTCTTTCAAGCTAAAATCATAAAAATCTGAATCCGACCTAGGACTATTCTTCCAAGTATCACTTTCCACTCAACTCTCCTACTACTTGATTGCTCATCAGAGTTTATTTGCATTTTTGTCCAGAGTTTATGGTTGTTATCTGTAGCATGGCTTGTTTAGTGGAAACTTGTTCTAATGTACCAGAAGCATAACTGGGGACTTTAGATATGTTCCTCTATTTTTCACCTGAAGGACAATTTCTGAGATCGTTCATTTAAAATAGAACTCACTCATTCAAACAAAACCAGAACTCTTTATGTTGTGGTGCGTAAAGACTCATTTGGAATGTTTCTATTTAAATATTCAGGTCTAGAGAAAAGGAGAAATAAAGTGTTTAATGTACATTGAATTTACCAGATTCTGATCAATTTATGCCTGTGGTAAATCTTTAGCTAATATCTATCCAAAGCTGTGCCTGAGAAATATGCATTTAAATGTGTGTGTTCAAATCATCATTTTGACTCTTTAGAAAAGTAGTAATTATAAAATAAATTAATTTAAAAATACCCATGTAAAGAGCTTTTTCTCTTATTACTTCCTAGAAACGAGCAGATGCTCTGGAAACTGAGAACAAAGTTCTTCAGGAACAACTAAAACAGGCTTTACAGGTAGAGGATATCATGTTACTTGAAAATTATTATAAATGAAGAACATATTCATAAGGAACTTTTCAATTGAATAATTACAGCCTTATAAATGAATAGATTTATATATTGTACTATTCTATGAATTTTAAAATACTACTTTATGTAATGTGAATATATTAATAAAATATAATATTCATTCTTATCAAAATCAGTAAACTAGAAAAAAGTATACTTTCTGGATTTTTGTTTTTTGTTTTTGAAAGGGTTGAGGGTACCAGAGATCTGTGAGCCAGATCTCCAGCTTTATTTTCTATTTTATTTAGAGACAAGGTCTCACCATGTTGTTTAGCACATTTCTTTTTCTGAGGCCGGCTTTGAACTTGCAATCCTCCTGCCTCAGCTTCTCTAGCTGCTGGGATTACAGGCATGCAACACCATACCCAACAAAAGTAAACATTCTTAATAAAACAAAGCAATCTCTTTCAAATTCAAAGAAAATATACTTGAAATTAAGATATTGCAGGCATTTAAATTAAACTCGGTAAAGTGAAGATATTTACTCTCATGCTATTTTTCAAATTCTAGCTAAAAACTAAGACAAGAAATGAAAGAAACCACAAATGTTTTAATAAATGGATAGACAAAAATATAATGATTTGTGTGCTGTATAAATTTATAAAAATATACAATTTAAATAACAGCGATATATTAAAAAAATTGTCTGGGACAAAATAAGATAGATTTAGAACAGAAAATAATAAAGCAAAAGATTTTATTTTCATCCAAAATTATTTAAAAGTAATTATTCCTTTATAATTAAGAAATTATAAAAATTAGTCTAGCATATTAGGATAGCACATTTAAAAAAAACAAAGCAGAGAGCTTTACATGAAGAAAAATGACAGAACTTTACCAGTGATACAGATGAACAGTGAAGAAATAAAAATTTATAATTTTGGTTTTGGAAATTTGATATTGTCAGTATTTTGATTTCCATATATCCAAAATTGATATACCAACTTAAAACAATTACTTTTACATATAAATGGAATTATTTTTGAACTTAAATTTAATGTAAGATATAAGGAGATAAGAAACTGGTAATTATACAAAAGAAGAGCAAATAAGGAGGACTCACTCATCAACATATAAATAAATCTGTAATAATTAAATCACTGAGGTTCTGGTTCTGGTATTGAATGGAAAGTCCAGACACAGATTCAAAGAAATATAATAATTTAGTATTTTATATACTTTTAGTTATTAGAAGTTTTCATAGAAGGATACAGTAGCCACACAAAGTAAACATTAAAGGAAAATAGCTAGATTTCTCTTTCATGAAAAACATCAAAATAAATTGCAGATTGTTTTAAGATCCAAAAGTAATAAATGAACTATGAAGATATTAGAATAAACACTGGATAACAGCTAAATGGTATTGACTAAAGTAAGCACCATACCCCAAAATAATGTTAATAAATTTAATTTGATATAAATTTAAAACTTTTTAAGATAAAAAAACAAGATATAAAGATAAAAGGAAAATATTTTTATTTTCTATGGAGATGTTTCACAAACATATAAGAAATATGGACAGCCTTTGCCTAAAATATATAAATAACACAAATTGGAAAGACATAATTCAGAAATGCTAATAAAGGCATACAAATATATTCAACCTCACTAATTATTGATTCAATGCAACTTAAAGTAACAGTGGAATAGGTTTTTTTAAACCTAACATTTCAGAAAAATTTAAGGAACAGAAATACCTATATTTCTTAATGGATGCTGAAATGAATAATCTTTCACATATTTCTATTTTCATTATGAATTTGTATTTTTCTGAAAGAAAAATACATAGCAAAAGTCTTGGAAAGCTATAGTCATTTTGTTATGCAAGTTCTAAAAATTTACAAAAAGAAAAAAGTGTTCAGAAATTTTATGCTAATGTGTAAAGTAATATTTTTTTTTAACTGAAAAGGTTTTGAAATGATTTACAAGCCCACTGATAAGGAATTTACTAAATATATTATGGTATATTACTAAATACATTATGTTATCTACTCTGGTAAATGTATGTTTATTGTCATGGAAACATACCTATGATATTAGCATATTATGTGACTATGTATAGTATGATTCAATATAAATAAAAATTATACACATATATACTAGTATATTTAGAAATAACTCAAAAGAGTATGCATCAGAAAGTGATTTTTCTCTTCATGGTGAGACATTTTTTGAATTTTATTTTTTATTTATATTCTTTCTAATAAAAACTATAAAAAGAGACATTTTAAAGAGAAATTTATTTCTAGAAGGAATAAATAGCTTATTTTCTAGTTTCTTTCATTCTTTGTTATTATGGATGGTAATTGTCCTGCTTATCTACCACTTTAAATAATAAATACTTGTTATTTTATTTTACCATTATAATAATTAGAGTCTTAAAAGATAGAAACTCGGATAAACACCTATGTTTTAAAAATTGCCCTTAAAAATGGAAGTTTTTTCTGGGCATGGTGGTATACTGTAATCCCAGCAATTCAGGCGGCTGAGGCAGGAGGATCACAAGTTCAAAGCCAGCCTGTATCAAAATAAAAAATGAAAAGGGCTGGGATGTGGTTCAGTGGATTCAATCTCTGGTACCAAAAAAAGTAAAAATAATAAATAACTAATAATAATAAATGGAAGTTTTTGTTTTTTAACAGTGAAGGAATATTTATTCTTGGCCAAGAATAGAAAAAGTGGAAGATAAATTTGCAAATCAATTTCTCTACCTGTTGGGGATCTAGAAGTTAGAGATAACAGGGGAAATGAAATTTAGGGCTGGGAAGATTTTCTGGTAATTTGGGCACCACTTCTTTTCACTCGTTTTATGGTTCTTTTCAGTTGTGTCATGGCAGTTATCAGGTACTGGGAGTGTGTGATTTAGCGTGCAGATGGATAGTATTGAAGTGATTCTAGCAGACATCTTAGGTATAACAAATTTCAGCCAGCACCAGAACTTCTGTAACTTCTGGCCTACTGGCATCGGTTTTGGAGGTTTCAATCAAAGATGTATTGGCCCATTGATTTGGGGCGTGTGTCGAGGCAGTAGACAATGTTCTACAGCTTTTAATTTTAATTATCAAACTTTAAACTATACATTATACCAAAGGTTTAACTTAGTTTCCTCTGACTACTAAATAAAAATGAGCTGGATGTGGTAGCCTCACCTGTCATCTTAACTACTCTGAGGGCCGAGGCAGGAGAATCTAAGCAAGTCTAGGTGACTTAGCAAGACCTTGTTTCAAAACAAAAAATAAAATGAGCTGTGATGTAGCTGAGTGGTAGAGCATCTCTGAGTTCAGCTGTCAATATTAAAATAATAATATTAGATATTTAAAAATTGAGAAATCATATGGGCATAAATAAATGTGGATTCCTGGAGGTTGTAGTATTGTCAGGAAAATGTCACAGAAAACAATGCTTGACAAATTTAACTTTCTTAAAAACAGGAAGCAGAAAGAAGTAAGCTTCAACTTGACTATTTCCTAAATCAAGGGGTGGAGCTTATTAAAAGTGAGGGGAAGACCAAAACGATGGAAACGGGTTTTGGTAAAACACAAGGTGAACATTCAAAAAATATGCCATTGGACAGAGAGACAAGGGCAGCATTTGTTTCAAATTCAGGTGAACAAAGGACAAATGATATAATCCAAGAGGTAAGGAAATAACCAAAATAGAAATAGTAATATGCGTTTATCTTTCATATCATTACTTACTTCTTTTGCCTTTTTTCTTAAAGGTTTATCAATTCATTATTATCTTGTATAACAAACAATAAATTATGTATATATGGATTTTGAATGATCATTTAAGCATCTGATATTTGAGAAATAGAAGAAAATAGAGTTCGAAAACTAATAATATCCTGCTATAAATTAATAAAATTAAATATAAATTCAAAATTATGGAGAAAAAACTCTTAAAAATGTCTTATTTTTGTTTCTATGAAGACAGTGGATTCAGAAACTCTTTTTATCTTTGTTCAGACTTGACCTCCAGGCCATTGTACAGGGTTTTGTAATGCATATCGTAAATATTTTATTGTATCACACTGATATACACTTTATGCTTTAACTACATTGTACTTAAATTCATTTAAATTGCTGTTTCCTGTCACATCAGGATTTTGAATATTTTGTTCTCTTTTCTTGAAACACTGTTTCTTCACTTCCTCTTTTCTAAAATTCATCTTGTTTAAAAATAAATGAGAATCAAAAAGTAGTAGTATGGGCTGGGGATGTGGCTCAAGTGATAGTGTGCTTGCCTGGTATGCACAGGGCGCTGGGTTCGATCCTCAGCACCACATAAAAATAAAGTAAAGATGTTGTGTCCACCAAAAAACTAAAAAAAAAAAAAATTAAAAAGTTCTCTCTTTCTTTCTCTCTCTCGCTCTCTTTCTCTCTCTCTCTCTCAAAAGAAGTAGTATTATTTCACTTATCTTTTGCTGCATAAAAATTACCTCAGAATTGAGTGGTTCAGACAATAAATGTATTAATTATCTCACAGTATTTGTAAGTTAAGGATCCACATGTATAACTAAAAAGAACCAATAAAAGAAAAATAGAATTTAAGTTTGCCTTAGCTGGGTCCTATGGCTCAGGATCTCTCATAAAGATATAATCAACATATTCTTAACTACATTTATCTTAAGATCCAAGTAGAGGAGAAAGAACTTCAAGTATTTCACTGGGCTCACATTTGAATGCAACATTCATTAGGCCTCAGATCCTTGCTGGCTGTTGGCTTGAGGTATCAGTACTTTTTCATGGGAGTTTCTCCATAAGAAAGCTTACAACATACAAACAAGGGCAGAGAGACATAGAGATAGATAGATGGAGAGAGAAAGAGAGTGAGGGAGGGAGAGAATGCCTTAAACCTAATTTCAGAAATGACATCTCATCACTTTAATCATATCACTTTCATTAGAAGTTTAGAAGTAGTAGCATTATGAACAGTTCACAAATAACAATATATCATTGGCATGAATACCCTGAGGCAGGATACAATGGAAGCTGGCTATTTTAGAGGCTTCCTACTAAACGTAGATTGGTATGAGATTGTGATAACTCCCAAACTGAATGTTAAATTAAGCAGTTTGATCTTCAATACTCAGGAAAGGAAGAAACACTGAAAGTTTTAGGTAAATGAATAACAAGTAAGATCTATGTTTTTAAACATAGAAAGTAATTATACCATTGATGAGGCAGATGGAGTCTTCTCTTTCATTGATTCTATAATTAATGAAGTCTTTTGTGTATATTGTAAATATGAACTTATTTAAATGATTTTTTTTGCTAATTTAACTCTTTTGGAAGCTGTGACATTCCTGTATCAAAATCAAGCTTCTCTAAGGTCTGAAATATCCAATGCTCTTGGATCTGGGTTTCACAGAGATTATAGCTTGTCACCCTGTGCTATGGGGAATGGAAGCCTAAAATCTAAAAGGGGTAAAGAAGAAAATATTTGGATTTCTTCTACTAGACACTAAATTATATTATACAAAGGTCTGACACCCCCCCACACACACACACACATATATAAAAATGACATTTTAGAAAAGTAGTTCTTTATTGTTTTCATATCTGCTTTTAAGGTTTTTTAATAGAAGAGCCATCTTTTTAAAATTAACTAAATTATTACATCTTCTGTTAAGAACTATCAAGATTATATACAAACCCTTAGTGAAAGATCGTAATACTTTATTAGAATATAATGAGGATAAAATAAGGTTAATGAACTGCTTTTCTATATTGTGAAGCACTACTTAAATGTTTTATTGCATCATTATTTAGCTCTGGCTAGTTTTCTGTGTAGGGTGTAGGAAAATCCCTTTTGATATGTTAATTAGTATCATGGCTAACTATTTTGACACATAAACACAAAGTGTATAATGGCTCAAAAATTATACTTTATTTCCTTGTGCTAATAGTTTAAGAAGTTAAAGGTCAGTATTCAAAGTAGAGAGTTGTCTCCAAGGCCATTCAGGTATCCTGGCATGTGCAATCTTTACCATCTTAAATGTGATGTTTGCACCACACATCAGAAGAGAAGATGGAGAACAAACAAGAACAATTTTCATTGACCAGGCTGGAAGTGGAGCATATCATTTTCTTTCATATTCTCTTTGCCACATTTAACTTCAGGGGGAATTTAGGAATGTATACTAGCAATGTGACTAAGAAGAAAAGAAAATTAGTTGGGTAAACACAAGTTTGCAGGTAGGTAAGGATAAGCCAGCTAATCTCTGCATAAAAGAAACCAAGTTAGATGTAATTCAGGCCTGGAGTAAAACCTAGAATCAACATTTATGGTGTAGGGAAATATGTATCATGTTCCCAAGAGATAGTCTATTAGTGAAATCACATTTTTAAAACCACAGGTTTTATATATTTTAATCACACACCTCAATAAATATAGTGTGCATTCAGATCATACATTTTACAAGAATTTATAAAAAGCAGTACTATGTTTGTATATTGTATGTATTAGCCTTACAAACTCTTCTAAATTGATGTTGAAAATGATTGGGTAATTAGCATATAAAGTAATTTTATTTACTGAAAGTGTAAAACCCTCTTTGCTCTTAATTTAGAAAAGTTAAGTATCATTTGTTCTCCTATAATGTTCTCCTATATATATCTATTCCAATGCCAAAATATGGTAATTTCTTATCTTTTTTGATACCTTAATATTACACAACTGTCATATTAAGAAAAGTATTTTGAATGATATTTTTCTAAATGATCTAATGCAAATATTTTATATATATTTGGTATATTAAAATGTATTATTATCTTTATCATAGATCTCAATTGTCCAAAATCAAAGACCAATTGAAGAAAGGTAAAAACATTTAAAAATTTTTGTTCTTTTTCTAATTTTATGAGTTCATACATCTATGATGAAAATATCCAATCAAAATTCAGTGTCTAAAACTTGTTGATTTACATCTTTGCTTATAATATTGTACCCATATATTTGAAGTACATTTTTTTGGAAACACATTTTAAATAGAGAAAATTGTGAAACTTTAGATGTCAAAGACTGAACAATTTTGATTCAGTGAGAAATCAAAAAGTTTGAATGAAAAATTTGAAGTAAGAACACAAGCAATTAAATTTCCAGAGAGTAGGAACTGCCCCTGACCTTTGTTTTAAGTTTAGTTATCAAAATGCATGACCTAGATTAGTAGGAATTTTTTTGGGGGGGTACTGGGAATTGAACCTGTGAACACTTTAATACTGAGCCACATCCCCAACCCTTTTTATTTTTGAGTAAGGATCTTGCTAAGTTTTTCAAGGCCTCTCTAAGTTGTCAAGGCTGTCCCTGTAACTTGCAATCCTCTTACTTCAGCTTCCTGAGTGACTGTGATTACAGATGTGCACCACCATGCTTGTCATGACTTATATTTTTAAACAACTCACTTGAAAACATTTTTGAATGTGATTTTTTTCTCAGTTACTTGATAAATATATATGTTAATATATATTTATAAACATATAAATATAAATATATTTAAATATATATTGTTTATATTTATTTATTATATACATATGAATGTACATAAATGTTTGAGTTTATTGATTCATCCAGTTAGAAAACTTGTAGTTTTCACTTGTGAGTCTGTATGATTAGCCATATTAATAGTAATATGAATAGCCATAGAAATAGTAAGCCTGAACTACAGGTATTAGTAACAGCAAATTCTGTCATTAAGAGTTACATTGTTATTTGATGAAAATAAATTGTGTCAATGTTTCCTTTTGTTGTTGACAGAAATTATTGAGAATCCAAATCAAATATACATGAGGAATTTGTTTATTCCTTAATTTTACAGAGCCTAATGTGTAAAATTTTGGGGGCTTTGATTACCATGTAGAAAAGAAAAAAGAATTACCTACAAATATGCATTTCTCTCCTTTATTACCATTTTTAATATTTCTAGATTATATATCTAGATGAATTACTAAGTATTAGGTAGTAAGTGTGATGATTAATGGTCAAAAGCTTTGAAAAGGCCCTTTTTCATGTTTGTAGATATTATATTTTTTAAAGTGTGTATTTTTTATATTTCAAAAGAAAGCTGAACATTGTTTTACTTTTTTGCTTTGCAAACTTATGGGTAGTTTTCTTGTAATGTATTCCTTTACATTTTATATGTGAATGGTTAGCATTGTGAATATTTAAGAGGTAATAAGGGATTAATTACAACTTTTATGGAAACTAATCCATCTTATGAGCTGTGTTAGAAAAAGAAATAAAGCATGAGACTCTTCTGTTCATGCTCAGATTATGATAGAGCATGACATGTTAGTAGTTTTTCTGTAGGAATATGGTGAAGTATAGCTTTGAAAATGCTGGAAAGTTAATAATATGTTTATCACTCTGAAGAACATGAAGTGGTAAATTTTGATATAAATTGTTTTAATATCGACCATTTAGTTGTTGCTGATGAATTTGGTAGACTGTACACTAATGCATCTCAGAAAATATAAACATTGCCTTTAATGGTGGGGGGAGAAGGCATTTTAGGACTGGGACACAGCTCAGTTGAGAGAATACTTGCCTAACCTACACTAGGCCTGGGTTTGATCTTCAGCATTGAAAAAATATATATTTTAAAGAGAATCTCTACTCTCAAAAATGACATAATAAA